TGTTCATCTTCTAAATTCATCTGTAACAACATCTTATACATTTTAGCAATAACATGCTCATTATTTATACAGAGTTGAGTCTCAAAATAAGTTATTTCATTAACAAATGTATACGTCTTTTTATCCAACTTAAAATGTTATGTAAGCAGCTTGATGGTTTTTAAGTTATAGTGATCCCACTAAAAAAAATTTGTTCATTTGATCTGGTCCAAAACCTACACATTTCTGACAAAGAAAATTTTATAATTTTTTAGCTAGGCAATAATCTGTTTCCAGTGGTCTTTAGATCTTTCCGACCATATTCAGTTTCTGTATTTCTCAGACTAGTATAGCAGTAAAGCTCTGGATTTATGAATAGTACATGAAAAGGTGCTTCAAATGATGATTTCCTAACTCAGTCTGATTTTAGTTTATTTTGGCACCAGCCAACCATCATTATATGCTGGATGTCCTATGCATTCACTTCTTGAGTCAGTAGGTGGAAGAGCATAAACAGCATACATCTTCAATCCAGGACAGCCTTCTGCATGTGGAATTGGCCTGTTCTGCATGCTTATCTTGAGTGGGGGTCTTTAACATTCTCCACATAGGTGGGTGAGAGGGATAAGGGCCAGGAGATTCAGTTAGCACCTACCCTGGCATTGTTTCAAAAGGTTGTGAAAGCATACTTTTTCTTTAGGTCCTTCAAGGTTGAATTGTTCCCATAATTGAGATTGGGGGCTGGTACCTGTGTTGATTTACAGTATTGTTTTATATTTTTGTTTTTGTGGTTTTATTTATATTGCAAGCTATTGGGAATTGGTTTCTGATTATGATATAACAAGAAAACAAATACGTAAATGACTTGAAGGTGAAGATTATTCCGACTTCATTTTTTTCATGCTTCCCATTGAAGATCTCTTTTAGATTTGCTGAGTCTCTAACATATTTTCTTCCTTTGCAAATATTTCATGCTATAATGGACCAAAATGATCCCTTATATTTTTTTAACATAACACAGTCTTTGATTTCAAAGTTTACCATAGTCATGAACGTTCCTCATTTGGGAACTTTTTGACTAGAGAATCATTATGTGTTTGAAACTGCTATGGCTCCACAAGTAAAATCAGTATGCAGTATTTTAGACATTTTTCTCTTAGTTATGCTCCTTTGGACAGGAGAAGCAAAGAAAGGTTATTACCCATCTGAAGTTGAGAAAGCATTGACTACTTTTTCAGATCTGCAAAGGCTACCAGATCGGGGTTGCACAAATTGAGACAACCACAAGAGAGTAGCAAAGAGTTAGCATTTCTGTATTTCTTTGCTGTTACCTAGCCCTTGTTCAGAGTTTTGCAAGCCAGACTTGTTAACCCTAAAATATGCTTGGTGTGTGTGTGTGTGTGTGTGTGAGAGAGAGAGAGAGAGAGAGAGCACATGTGAACTATATGCTTTTTGCTGATTTTTCATGTGTTTACTGGGATGCTATTTCTCTCTCTCTGTGTGTGTGTGTGTGTGTGTGTGTTTCCTCTTAAGGCTGTATAGTCTTCCAAGAAAGATCAGGAGTGGGTCATGTTTTTGTGGCCAGGAGCTAAATTTAATGTTTGGGGGAAAGGTGAAACTGTGCTGAGCAAAGAAATCACAAAGACTGGGGGGAGGGGCTGCACATCACCTTAAACATAGGGAGTGGGTTTCTGGTTTTTTGGGGCGGGGTTAGAGTTTTCTTCATGCAGTGTGCTTTAAAATAGGGGGAAGCTGCATATGTACTGCTTTTTGGCAACTGTACTGCTATAATTCAGTGTTGCAGTAATAGTTGGAAGAAGCAATGGAAGAGGTTTTTTAAAGCTCCAAGAGGTACATGAAAATTGAGCTTGATGGTTACTTATTACCAGATTATTCAGCTCTCTTTCTTCTCTCAGATTTGTCTCTCCCCCATCATATACATCATTTTCTCTGCAGCTTGAGAAAAATGGGGAATATGTTAGAATGGACCTGATATTCAGTAGGCAACATGCATCAATTCTTCTTAATAATTGGACTCTTATGCAGTAGCTGATTAGATAATTACCTTGACAGCGAGACTGACATTTAAGTGTAGCTGTAAGTCAGTAAAGGAAAAAAAAACAGACATGATTTTTATTTATTTATTTATTTATTAATCAAATTTATATGCCGCCCATTTCACTATATAAGTGACTCTAGGTGGCTTACAAGTAAAAAGAACTATAACGATCTTTACAAACATATACAAAGCTAAAAAGTTAAAAAAGGCAGAGATAACATCCTCAAGCTACCAGTCACCCCCAGGGCTGCGAACCCCCAATGGGTGCCCATGCAAGTTGACAGGGCCAGGTCTTGATGGCCTTTAGGAAGGCCTGCAGAGAGGAGCCTAATCTCACCTCAGGGGGCAAGAAGTTCCGAGGTGGGAGCAACGGCAGACAAGGCTCTCCTCCGAGACCCTGCCAGTCGAAATTCTTTGGCCGACGGGGTCCGTTGCATGGCCTTCCTGCCAGACCGGGTGGGGTGTAATTTGGATGAGACGGTAACCTGGTAACCTGGGCCCATGCCATGAAAGGCTTTAAAAGTGATAACTAACACCTTGAATTGGACCCAGAAGCAAACTGGCACCCAATGCAGCTTGCACAGCAGAGGTGCTCCATGCACAGTTCTAAGGGCGCCCATAACTGCCCACGCTGCTGCATTCTGCACCAGCTGCAGCTTCCAAATACCTTTCAAGTGTAGAGCGCATTGCAGTAGTCCATATTGGAGATGGCCAGGGCATGAGTGACTGAGAAAAAGTTTTCCTGATCCAGGAAAGGGTGCAACTGGCGCACAACACATAGTTGAGCAAAGGCCCTCCTAGCCACGGCTGCCACCTGCTCCTGGTTGTCGCATATGAAGACCAAAAGACATAGGAAGTGCCTGGGAATTGCAGCAGGAATAATATTATTTTACTTAATTGAATAATTGACAACGTGGAATTGATTTTCCCATTCAGGTATTTAAGGTTCATGAAATAGCAATGAATGAGACAAGAGACCCTGGCAAGATGACAAGGAAATAAATACATCAGATGAGACTAGCTGGTTATTGCAGCTTCTTAAAATGGAATTTAGAAGCATTTTAAAATAGAAACTGTTATTGTCAAGTTAAGCCAACATATATCAAGTTCATTGTAATCACCGCAAGAGTGCTGTCCACTTTTGACTATTGCCTGTCTCCTGCTTCAGAGATGCACTACAACTTCCCCAGCTCTAAATGACACCCTCAAATTCTTACCCTGTCAAAAACTCTGCTCACAACAAGTTTCACTTTTGCTGCTGGCTTTGGCCTCTACATGTGATTGATGACATGTCAGTTTTGAAATCCCCTTAGTCAAACATCCATATCCTTTTCGTTGGCTCCAGCTGTCTGGCGATAACACCCTGTTTCCTGGCATATTCTGCCCTTCAGTGCTACTTTGCACCAGGGTTGCTTAATTACTGAGCTGACAGCAGCGAAAGACCAAACTGAATCTTTTCAGATTTCTAGGTGGAGGAATTAAACCCTTTCCTCATTTAATGTATCTACAGCTTCTTTGAAATCTTTTCTTTTAAATAAGGAAGTTTGGTTAAATATCTCACACCACCATTCAGCAATTGTTCTCTAAAGCAGCTTCTCTACCGAGGTACTGTAACTCTCATTACTCTGATTCTGTATTAGAATGGAGATTATGGAAGTTTTACTTCAGCATGTAAAGAGACCGCCACAATCAGGCAGGCTGCTGCAAACCAACTGAACTCCCTTTATTGCCTCCAGGGTCCTAAGAATGATGATAGTGAAAATAGCTGAACCCAGAACTTTGAGAAGGTTATACAGTATTTAATATACAAAGGCTCATTTGCTTTCAGGGACCTGAGCTGTTTTGCATCTTCCTTCCTTCCCTCCCTCCCTCCCTTTCTTCCCAATCAGAGTTTTATTTTTTGGGCAGTATGCTATCTTAATTTTGGATTGTTTTTAATTAATGGTATGAAGTAATTTTATGGGTTTACTGTTTTATGACTTAGGTTTGTGATCTGCCTAAGGATGTACATTTGTGGAGATATACAAGTAATGAAAAATAGATACATGAATAACATTGAAAATGCCTTCTTGGGGAATTTGACTGGCTTCTTCACTTTTTATCCAAATTTCCCAAACTGATGTCCTCCAGATGTACTAGAGCTGCAGTTCCCAATACAGTGGTACCTCGGGTCACGAACTTAATTTGTTCCGCGACTCTGGT